AGAGGGGGGAGGAAAGGAAATGATGGTTGAGAAGCTGCTTCTCAGCTCCGACTGTCACCCAGCCAGGTTGTGTCTATAGTCATAGCGCCACCTAGTGGTCAGGTTGGGCATTTCAGGGCGGCCTTGCTCACATAATCATTGCCGTTTGCGTTCAGCTCGGCATGGCGCATCACAAAACAAAAATGGCGACGCATTGCATGACAAGGACAGAATCAGACTGAAGAGTTACCTTTCATATCGTCCTTGTTATCTACCCGGTAGACGTCCCCCTTCGTCACGTACACGGTGACCGGCTGCTCAAACGCATGGAGAGGATACTCGTACTGGAAGAGAGACACAGCGTCACCTGCCAACCAAAGCCATACTGACCGCCGATCTCTACATTACTATAAATCCCGCCTGCTGCCCTGTGCTCACCATGGCAACAGGGGCGAGGGGGAGCTGCCAGGACAGCCCTGGCTGCGCCCCCTCTCAGCTGTGCCTGGGGCAAGTGCCTCACTCGCCTCATGGTAGCTACAGCCCGGGATGGAACTACAAATCCCAGGAGGCATTGCAAGATTCTCACAGCCACAGACATCACTCCCGGAGAGAGATGCATCATGGGATTTGTAGTTTCACCACAGCTGGAGGGCTTTTTCTCATTGCACTCTGATGATAAGGGTGTGTTGTGGCCCCTCGACTTTTCTATGACTTAACGGGGCCATTTCTGTCCCCACTGGGGCGTTACGGGTGTCTGCAACTAAGGAAACGCATGTGACGGCCCCCTTACAGGAAGAATTCTTACAAAGGCCTTAGAACCGCCCGGCCCTGGCAGAGGTGCCCACTGACCTTGTGCGTCTCGCAGTGCACCGAATACAGGTCCTCTTCTCCGGACATTCTCTCCACCTGCGCTCGCAGGGTGATGGGGGAACCCGCCACCTCTATGATGCATCTGTACTCCAGTGCTTCCCCCTAAAAGATTTCACAGAGACGCAGGTTACAGAGCACAGAAGTCACCACAACAGCATACTACCATAAACGGCACAGGCTCATTTAAAGAGAACCAGTCACCGTGGTGTGTGTTAGGAGTCATCTCAATCTCCGCAAATTTCCGCCTTAAAAAACATTTTTTTCCCCTTTATGTGACTTATTTTTTACACTAACCCTATTGCCATCACATGGGGGGGAGGGGGGGGGGCTAACAAGCACCCTATGTCATAGCAGATAGGGTGTGACAGGTCCTCTTTATGGAGACATCAGACCTAGGGACCCCAAAGAAGCCGAGATCTGCTCCCCCAGCTTCTTCTTCTGGCTCTAAGGGTTAGTTCACACCATAGGAAGTGCGTTCCTGTCCGCATTGCGGCCGGGTAACGTCTTTGCTGGGCTGGAGGGGGCGTGACGGGCCATTGAAGTATATGGCACCGTAGCCCCGCCCTCCGGCCGCAATGCGATGGCAAGGCACATTGTGCCTGCAGTGCGTTCGGGTGCGATCAAAATAGTTCTTGCAGCACGCCCCCTCCAGCCCAGGGACTGAACTAAGCCTAAGAGGCGGAGACTGAAAGAGTAACACCGGAAGTGATGTAATACACGTCATTTCCGGGGGTCCAGTGATTGGAGGAGACAGCAGAGGGCTGGAAGCCGCTCCCCCCCTGGACTTCTACTGATTTATCCTCCTGCAGAGAAACAACTACAAAACAAGGATTGCGTAACAACGTTCCCCGAATCACACGCCTCCCGCCCTGCAATGTGACACGTGACTTTCCAGTCATTTCACTGGAACGAGGGCGTGCGTTTCATTTCACCGGAACGAAGGCGTGCGTTTCATTTCACCGGAACGAGGGCGTGCGTTTCATTTCACCGGAACGAAGGCGTGCGTTTCATTTCACCGGAACGAAGGCGTGCGTTTCATTTCACCGGAACGAAGGCGTGCGTTTCATTTCACCGGAACGAAGGCGTGCGTTTCATTTCACCGGAACGAAGGCGTGCGTTTCATTTCACCGGAACGAAGGCGTGCGTTTCATTTCACCGGAACGAAGGCGTGCGTTTCATTTCACCGGAACGAAGGCGTGCGTTTCATTTCACCGGAACGAAGGCGTGCGTTTCATTTCACCGGAACGAAGGCGTGCGTTTCATTTCACCGGAACGAAGGCGTGCGTTTCATTTCACCGGAACGAAGGCGTGCGTTTCATTTCACCGGAACGAAGGCGTGCGTTTCATTTCACCGGAACGAAGGCGTGCGTTTCATTTCACCGGAACGAAGGCGTGCGTTTCATTTCACCGGAACGAAGGCGTGCGTTTCATTTCACCGGAACGAAGGCGTGCGTTTCATTTCACCGGAACGAAGGCGTGCGTTTCATTTCACCGGAACGAAGGCGTGCGTTTCATTTCACCGGAACGAAGGCGTGCGTTTCATTTCACCGGAACGAAGGCGTGCGTTTCATTTCACCGGAACGAAGGCGTGCGTTTCATTTCACCGGAACGAAGGCGTGCGTTTCATTTCACCGGAACGAAGGCGTGCGTTTCATTTCACCGGAACGAAGGCGTGCGTTTCATTTCACCGGAACGAAGGCGTGCGTTTCATTTCACCGGAACGAAGGCGTGCGTTTCATTTCACCGGAACGAAGGCGTGCGTTTCATTTCACCGGAACGAAGGCGTGCGTTTCATTTCACCGGAACGAAGGCGTGCGTTTCATTTCACCGGAACGAAGGCGTGCGTTTCATTTCACCGGAACGAAGGCGTGCGTTTCATTTCACCGGAACGAAGGCGTGCGTTTCATTTCACCGGAACGAAGGCGTGCGTTTCATTTCACCGGAACGAAGGCGTGCGTTTCATTTCACCGGAACGAAGGCGTGCGTTTCATTTCACCGGAACGAAGGCGTGCGTTTCATTTCACCGGAACGAAGGCGTGCGTTTCATTTCACCGGAACGAAGGCGTGCGTTTCATTTCACCGGAACGAAGGCGTGCGTTTCATTTCACCGGAACGAAGGCGTGCGTTTCATTTCACCGGAACGAAGGCGTGCGTTTCATTTCACCGGAACGAAGGCGTGCGTTTCATTTCACCGGAACGAAGGCGTGCGTTTCATTTCACCGGAACGAAGGCGTGCGTTTCATTTCACCGGAACGAAGGCGTGCGTTTCATTTCACCGGAACGAAGGCGTGCGTTTCATTTCACCGGAACGAAGGCGTGCGTTTCATTTCACCGGAACGAGGGCGTGCGTTTCATTTCACCGGAACGAGGGCGTGCGTTTCCATAGGCCGAGGAAAGGTGATCGTCTTCTGTGGGAGAAAATACTCCAATCTGACCTCTAGCAGGCCGGTCAGAGCTAAAGTGGGACTCTAACCCAAACCCGAGGTGGAATGAGACGAAGTTTAGTCCCCGGGGAGGAGCCGGCCTGAGAGATCCCCCCACATCTCAGACTACACGCATGTTCCTATAACGCTCATTATTGTAGTTTTCGGGGGGAGAGCGACACCATCTTTGAACCGGTAGATGGAGGCTTAGTATTCCCTGATGTGATTGGTGGGTGCCGGAGGGGTTTCCTTTCCTCCTGGGTTGATTCTGGTCCGGTTCGCCCGCCGGGCTTGTCCCCAGTTGTAGGCAGGCAATTCGCCGGTGCCAATGCCTTTCGGTAGGGATGGGACTGCATTTGTCTGGCCGGAGGGCTGGGGAGCCGGAGAAGCCCGCGGTACTGTGGCCCCCTGGGAGCGGCGTCTCAGGGAGTGCCGGAAAATCACTTGGGTATGGGACCCCACTTGATTCACCTGCACACGGTCACTCAAGCTTTATCTGCTCCTCTTGGGCAAGCCTTCTGGCTAGTCCGGGGCAATTTTTTTATCTTTGGCCTGGACAGCCTGCCAGGTTTGTGCACGGGCACCTTATTTTAAGCACAATCTTTATGCACGATTGGCACGTTTTGACTTCACAGAATGACGGAGGGTGCGGATACCTTCGGGGGCCTGTTCCTGAAGTTGCGAAGGAGGTTCCGTGACCTGCACTGGGGCCCCCTGCCTCCTTCCACTCAAGGAAGGAACTCCAGAACTTCAGCTGGCCAAAGACTGACTCATCTACTGTATGTGGGATGCGAGTCCATTCCATCCATTGGATCTCCCTTCCATCCATTGGATCTCCCTTCCAGCCATTGGATTTCCCTTCCAGCCATTGGATCTCCCTTCCAGCCATTGGATCTCCCTTCCAGCCATTGGATCTCCCTTCCAGCCATTGGATCTCCCTTCCAGCCATTGGATCTCCCTTCCAGCCATTGGATCTCCCTTCCAGCCATTGGATCTCCCTTCCAGCCATTGGATCTCCCTTCCAGCCATTGGATCTCCCTTCCAGCCATTGGATCTCCCTTCCAGCCATTGGATCTCCCTTCCATCTATTGGATTACCATTCCATCCATTGGATTGGAACTGGATTTTCAAGTATGGAAGCCAGGGAAATGGCATTTCCTGGTCAGGACATGACTACACATTGTTTCCTATAAAACTATTTGCGGATCAGAAGAAAGCCGACTCACGTTCAATAGGTGAAGATTACGTCCAACGAGGTCCAGTTCCCTTTCCAGGCCAACGGGAATCAGACGAGACCCCTCAACACTCTCCATTCTCGGGCAGAAGTCTGGACCCGACGGCGCTTGGTCTTCATCCTGCCGGAAGATGATGGAGAGACGGAGATAGATTAGTTATGTGTGACTAGGAGGCCACTATCCCTACACACAGGACCACGGACCCGTGACATGACGTCCTTACATTCTGGCTGTGGATGACGGTCTGGCTGCACTGTGCGGTGTGGGTACACGCGTGGTCAGATACACACCAGTGACACCTCCAGGGACTGCTCACACACGCGCTGCACCTGCAATCACATACAGACGTCACGCTTCAGCTGGAAAATCTCGCACAGGAAGCCGTCACTTATTCCCAATACAAAGACACGTCACACGTCTCAGCCGAGGAAACGGAACATTGGAAGAAAATACAATCAGGTGATTGGCAGCAACACGTCCCAGAAAACCTTGGGGGAGGGCAACAGGAAGCGGGCAAAGGTGCCAACAAGGAAGAGCCGGAAGATCTAATGAGGAGAATCGGCAACAGCTCAGTCACATGACTGGGTATAAAAAGAGCATCTCTGATGGTATGGGGGTACATTAGTGGGTATGAGGGGTATCTCTGATGGTATGGGGGTACATTAGTGTGTATGGGGGGGTATCTCTGATGGTATGGGGGTACATTAGTGTGTATGGGGGGTATCTCTGATGGTATGG